ACCAACAGGCGTCATCAATATTTTTTGTGCCTGTGAGCAAAATACAAAGTGTGCCTGCCTGCCTGCAAAAGGGACCCTTGTAAACAAGACTTCCTTTCACTTGTGAGGCATTCATGCAAAACCTGATTGTGCCAATATATATGTGAAAATATATTCATGAGCAGCTGGGTTCTTATTTTTACTAGATGACAGTGTAAAACAGTGGAAACTAAGTTCCCATACTAGGTTACAATATGTTTCCAGTTTTAATAAGATGGTACTGGACTTTCTAAAACTGTCTGTACCAGTGTTAGTAGTACCAACATGAAAATGATGTGCTGATTGGTTATATTACTACCTTAAAAAATAAGCAGAAACTTGACGTTTTGATGTTTTTCATGTTCTAAGATCATATAACTGACATTTCAATGACTTGCTTACTTAGTATTCAGTGCTGCAAGTTAATCTACAATTTGCATTCCTATCTTCAACTATTACCTAATCACAAAAAAGTCATTTGGTTATCATTGACACATTGCCAAAATTGTCGTAAAACATGAAATAAGTGTAATTTAAGCAGGATTTGATAACTGTTGATTGCCCTCAGAAATACACATTGGTAAATAACCACTAGATTTTACCCCAACACTACAGGGGACAAATAAAAAAGTTTGCCTAACATTGAGTAATTCTAATAGAGAAATTCATAATTACAACACAAGAAACTCTTCAAGTAATAAAACAAATTATAGAAAACACACTCTTGCTAATAAAGGAATAAGGAATTGAAGTTTTAAACAAATTACACAAGTCATTTTTAATACGGTAAAACTCTATTAATAAGGCACATTTGTGTAAGGTAATGCCGGATCTACATCAACCATATCACAAAGCTCCTACCTTGGACCTATTAAACTACAGAAAAATACAAAACACGCTATACCATACAATACAAAATGCATGATATTCAATATAAAACCTTATACGAAAATAACGAAACATGTAGACATGCAGTTTGTAAGTTAATTTAACCAATATCCTCAGTATTTGAAATAAAAGACGAAAAAGATCGTGTAATATCTTCTAGAAAACACCGAAAGTTTAGTTTACAATCGGCCGTCAAATACAAGGCAAATCATATTAGCATATTTCAATATTCATAAGCTTACCGGCATCGTTCTGTTTTTCCGCCATCTTGAAATTTAGCATGTGCTTATTACTCGTCCCAGGATACTGAGTGATCACACGGTGGGAGCCGTGAATTGACGATATTAGTAAATTCGCTGGCTTTTGACATTTTATGCATATAGTAAATCCGTCTTGGAGCTCATGTTGGAATTTTCCTATAGGAATTTTCCTATAGGAATTTCCTATAGGAATTTCCTATAGGAATTCCTATAGGAATTCGTATAGGATATTCGTATAGGAGGTTATATAGAATATAGAATCCTATTGCTGTTATTATATGTTTTTACTCTGTTTTTTATAGCAAAATACAAAACAAGTGTAACTCCAAAGATCGATATCGATCGATATATATTGTTATCGATCTTTGGAGTTAAACTTGTTTTGTATTTTGCTAAAATACTCAGTGGTTATGTTTTTAGTATCAATGTGTTTAGCTAGCTAGGATTTCTATAATTCCTGATGATCCCTAATGCAAGCATTCCTATTGGAATTTTATCCCTAATAAGAATATAAGATACAGCCAATAGTTCGCGCTTCAACTGGACGCCCTGGTGACTAGTTTACGTTTCAGAGCACAAAGCTTTATGGGATAGCATCGTTTTATTTGTGATAAAAAGTAGTTGGTGTTATAATTTTGTGCTTGGAATATTTCGTTGTTATTTTTAACCCAAACAGTGGAAAAGGAATCGGAAAGTTCTTAACATGTTATTCAGATGTCACAGGTAAGAATACTTTTGTATTTGACTTATTATTTAAGCACTTTAATTGCAAAATATTGTGGTGAATATGATTGTTAACTTGAGGCATGTGGGCCATGTGTCTTAAAATTTCGTTGAATGTTTGAATTTGCCGCGTCAATTTGCATATAAAACACACAAAATGTTGGTTTCTGGCAGTAAAGAAAGAATGAAATATAAATTCGAACCTATTATTGTGAATTCTATACTAAATTTCACACTATTATTAACAATTTAGCAATATTTTCTTTGGCATAATTTGGCACTTTGCTTAACTCTTTATCGTCCGGCGATAAATTTCATATTTTTCATTCAATTGCTTCCGATGTAAATATCTCAACGAGTATTAACCCCCCTTTAAAACGGAAACCACCATTGAAATCCTCATAAAATAACCTTTCGAACGGGAGGTCAAATGCCATTATAACATTACACAAACCAAAACAATCGTGTATTTTACTCACCGCTTTGCCAAATATTCTGTATTTCATATCCAGAAAATCTTGAATATCTCTTGAACTCCTCGGAATTCCCCACAAGTCAATCTGAGTGAAATACTCCTTGTATTCAAGCGCTTTCGTGTGGAAAATTTCGTTTGAATACGGCCAGTAGAAATATATTTATTTTGATTTTTTCAAAATATCGGGTTTTTACCGGTTTTTACTCGCACGCGCCCGCCACACACTAAAATTGGCCAATAAGGAGCACCCGTAGCCCGATGCACATGCAAATCACGCTGCAGGTGTAAGTTGACCTTTAGAATCGATTTCAGACGTTTCCCGAGCGATAGGATTTAAACAACGCAATGTTTTGGCAGATCTAAATTTTATATTATATTTTCCGGTCGAACCGCTGTTGAAGCTCTCGCGTAAAATTTAGATATTTTGAAATTCCGAAATAAAAAGATGCAAATCTGTTGATACAAGCTTGAAAATAACACTCTAAATAGTGTTTTGGATTGTGATTCGAACAAGACTATTATGAAAAAGATATCTTGAAAGGGGCCGAAGTTATGTTCGGCGAAAGGTATGCCTTTGTGATACATTTTATTACATTCTTACATTTTTCAGGAATATTGTGTAATCTAGTGAAATATGACACCGCTTGCCCTCTAAAGGTCGTAAATCGCTATAATGTTGACATTTTATTATATCTATCGATAGGAATTTTTTCACTGAATCGAATGGTGTTATTTTCATCTATATAGCATGCACTGAACCGAAAATATGAACCTGCAAAATACCAGGGCGGTTTCGACCTGGTTATTTCAGCACCAAATGAAAAAGAGTTAAAGTTAAGACTATTGTAAAGCTGGGTAAATAATTATATAAAATAATATATATTAAACATCCAAATGCTTTTAAAGATATGTTTGCATTTTAATACTTCAATAAGGATTGGAATCAGAGAGGAACGACAGCATTAAATGTGCTATTTTTAGTGTATCGATAATCAATCTTTAGTGTCCTCTACTGTATTTGCATTACTCTGTCTAAATTGCAAGAAGATTTTACTTGTCAAGGGGAGAGTCTTTTAATAGTGGGTTTATAAAGAGCTTCACTTGTATAAAGTGATGTTTGTAATGATAGTGCTGAGACAGTGCCCCAAATGTTCTCTTTGTATATATTTCAAGATTAATATTTGAGCTGGGCAGTGCTTGTATGTAGCCCTGGCTCCAAATATTGTTTTCAACAATCAGCAAATATAACCAGATTCACTAACAATAGTCCATAGTTTATTTAATATGTGCTTTATCACTTTATATATTAAGCATAATTACACCCTGCATTACCTTGTACCAATATGAACCTGTAGTCTTTGTGATTCATGGTGATTATGACAATAAACTATGGAAATTATCTTATATATAAAGGATAAATCTTATTATTTATTAAAAAAATTTCTGGTTTCTGATTGGCTAACAGCCAACTGTGAAATTGTCGTATCAACTCAGTGGCTAACCAAATATGAATTTTTCAAAATGAAAAAATTTGGGACGTGTTTGCGACGAGAATCATATCGACTCGCTGACGCCATTGATATGATGACGATGACGGCTGCCGAAGGACTAACTAGGATTTTTTTTCTTAATACAAATAAAATACAAATGGGTTCCATTTGTTTTGATTTTTTTAATTAATTTTAAATAAATAATAAAACAATTATTGAATTTGGTTTTTGCACAATATGAAGAATTATCAAGCCCTCAGTTTGCTGTAACAGTTATCAACCTCAGCCTTTGGTTGATAACAGCAAACTTTGGGCTTGATAATTCTTCATGTCATGCTCAACCTCATTCAATAATTGTTAAATATTAATTAAAAACTGTTTTTACATCAAGAGTTAATAGTCCCTTATAACTGCATGACTGAGGAGTGTCTCAGTTTAGGAAGCAAGTCCATTGTTCTAGTTTTTTTTATAGGGTATAATTTACTAATTATGATTATATTTTCAAATAAATAATGTTTTCCTTTTACAGATTCCAATATGATGGATCTCTGGTGGCATTTGCATGCTGTACTCGGAGCAGTATTAAATGTACATGAAGAAATCAATGGACTTGAACAAATGGTTTGTTAGATCATAATATTGATTGTGAAGTGGAAAGTGTTATAATACGGCATTGTGAGAAACTCTATTCGCCACAACACATTGCTGTGCAATCAGAACTAAACATAGTCATCTATAAGAATGACAGAAAATAAAACTTATGTAGTGCATACAGAATTTTCTATTTTTTAAATACATAATATAGGTAATATAATATAGTACAATTTTATGTCTAAAATTTTCTAAAAGTAAGAAAATATAAGAAACATTTCTTAAACTGAGAACAATGAAAAATGTCATAAGTTAAAAAGATAAATAGCCTAAATTAGTATGTTATATGTAAATATAGCCTGTTATATTTGCCACATTTTTATCTGTAATAAATTTTTTTCACTAGTTTCTCTTTTTCCTTCACCTTGGTAAATAACTCTTTTAGGCAGTTTGATTTAGAGGATTATGCAAGAATTTCTATATGATATATAAGATATCTATGGATCCAATAATATGAATTTCTATGTAAATCTAAGGAATTCCTATTCCTATAGGAATTCCTATTAGATTTTGGCCCAATTTCCTATAGGATCCTATAGGAATTCCTATAGGAAATTGGGCCAAAATCTAATAGGAATTCCTATAGGAATTCCTATAGGATCTTATAGGAATTCCTATAGGATCCTATAGGAATTCCTATAGGATCCTATAGGAATTCCTATAGGAATTCCTATAGGATCCTATAGGAATTCGTATAGGATCCTATAGGAATTCCTATAGGATCCTATAGGAATTCCTATAGGAAATTGGGCCAAAATCTAATAGGAATTCCTATAGGATTTCCTATAGGAATTCCTATAGGATTTTTTCGTAAGGGGTTATAGGTCGAAATAAGTTGTCTTGCCAAAACAAGACAGAAATCTAAAAGTTTTAGGCAACGGCGTCGATCAGTCTGCAAATTTTGTAAAATTAAACCGTTTACAATCGAAATATTCACGAAAAACCAAGCCAAATATTTCCACCACTTTTTAGATTCAGCTCCTACAGGGTAGTAGCTCCTATACTGGTCGTTTACGTCCACACCGTTCATATACTTATTATACAATGATATGACGGCGGGTTTTTCTCGCACTTCCTCGGGAACGACTTTCCTTTTTCCAGTGCGTTCATCTAAAGGGCCGAAAACGTCGGGCTGTGGATCGACATTGGTCAATAAAATCGTGACTAAACGTTTATCTTGCCATGCCAAACAAACTAAATCTTCATTTTGTCAAGTTCTCATTTCTCCACGCTTAAGTTTTATTATTTTCAAATCAGCAGGAAAATATTTCCTGTTGTGGCGCAAGGTCGAGCATGCATAAGTTTTTTTTGCAAGCAAATGTTTGAGTAAAGGAATCGAGGAAAAATAGTTATCGAAATAGAAATGACGGTAAGTATTATAGTAGGGTTTTCCCAGGAAATCAACAACTTTAAAACCGAGACCTTGCGCCCCTTCCGCTTCATTTTCATCGGCATTTTAATCGGCATTTTCGGCATTTTGTTGTTTAACTAAGTAAACTTGAAAGCGCAGCATGAAATAAGTTTCAGAATCGGCTAACATCCAAACTTTAATACCAAATTTATTAGGTTTTTTAGGCATATATTGCTTGAAAGATAAACGACCATTAAATTTAATCAAAGCTTCATCAATCGAAATATTTTTTCCAGGCACATAAACATCTTGAAAAGCATTTTCGAGCTTTGAAATAAGGGGCCGAATTTTTGTAAGTTTATCGGTTGGGTTTTCTTGCCGCGGGTCCGAAATATGAAAATACTTGTTTAAAATCTCGAAACGTTTCACAGGAATTGTTGTTTTGAAACCAGCATTGCCTAAAAATAAATTTGAATCCCAGTATGACCGAATTGTTGAAAGTTTGTTTATTCCCATCAAAATATTCAAGCTAAAAAATGCAGACATTTCGTCGCGGTCGGTTGTAAAATTTGGATCGTTGCATTTTGAACGGGCGTACGAAATTGTAGCATGCACAAGGAGATCGAAAAACGCATCGCCGAAAAACAAGTCGAAAAAGTCCTTAGGGGAAGCGTCTAAACCCAAGCCATGTCGAGGACCAAAGTCGGCAGTAAAGTCTTCAACACTAACACTACTTAAATTATCCATTCAAAATATCATCAAAATCATCTGCACTTATCTCGCTTCCACTTTCGCTCACACTGTCGCTGTCGAGTTCTTGATCTTCGATGTCAGAAAAACCGTGAAAGTCCCTTCATCGTCGTCTGAATCGCCCGCTATGTCTCTCCATGAAACCGCCGATGTTCCCGCTGCTATAGGCCGAGTTTCTTGAACCGTTTCGCCGACTATAAACCCCTCAAAGTCGCTTCCGTCCTCACTACTGTCGAACATACGAAGTGCTTCAGCCATATTTTAAAAAAAATCGCAGAAAGGTGTTTTAACTCTTTCACGACAGGCCGGTTTCGCATTACATTTCGATTCAATTTTTCTAATATAAATATCTCGGCGAGTATTTACCCCCCTTTTAAATAAATGCCACCATTGAAATCCTCATAAAATAACCTTTTGAACGGGGGGTCAAGTGCCGTCAAGACATTACACAAAGCGAAACAATCATATATTTACTCACCGCTTGGCCAAAGATTCTAAATTTCACATCCACAAGATCTTGAATACCCCTTAAACTTTTCGTCATTTGCTAAACGGCTATACGTGTAAAATACTCTCTGTATTCAAGCGCTTTCGTGTAGAAAGTTTCGTATGTATACGCCGACTAGAAATATTTATTTTGAATTTTTCAAGATATCGGGTTTTACTCGCACTTGCGTACATTGCGCAATAATTGGCCAATAAGAAGCTCCTTTGGCCGGGATGACGTCAAACTCACGCGTGTAGGTGCAATTTGACCTTGCGGATCCATTTCTGGCCTTTCCAGGGTCATACGATACAAACGCCGCATTGTTTTGACGGTTTTCGGTCGTATTTCCGGTTGGGATTAATTCACTTCGAGCTCACAGTCGGACAAGAAATGGAAATATATTGATAAAAGATACAGATTTGTACAGTCAGGGTTGCAAATAACACTCCAAAAACACTATTTAATGGGGATTCGAACAAGACTATTACAAAGACGATATGTTCGATGGGGCCGAAGTTATTTTCGGCGAAAGGTATGGCTAGTCTATAATAATCTGTATTTTTGTTCGGACAATTGCGTAATTTGATACAATATGATCGTTTTGACTTTCAAAGGCCCATAAATCGTTACAATACTAATAATGACTATAACTATCGTTTGGAACTAGTTGATATTTTATTTCTGAATCGAATGGTGGTATTTCTGTCTTCATAGCATGCACTGAACCGAAAGTATGAAATTTCGACCCGTCGAGCTACTGGGCCCTGTTAAGAAAGAGTTAAAACGCTTGTAACTTGAACAATATTAACTGTACAAGCTTGCACGAGGTCTCTTTTGAAAGAGCAGATTCAGGTGTTTTTATAGCTGCGCGTTGCTAAGCAATGCGTGACTGCATTACGATCCTGCTACAACGTTGACGATCCACGAACTTGGAAGACTGTCTGTGTCAAATGTAACAAAAGCAGAAGTCTCATCCGACCATTAACTTGCTGTTACTAGAGGGGCGTTTGCACATTGCGATTTGTCCTGTGCGATTCGGATTTTGGTGTATAATTCATTTGATGCCTCAATTCCAAAAATCTGAATTGAAGCGAAACTTTTAATTGCACAATTGACGCGTGCCTACTCGATTGGATTCGCCAAAATACGAGTCGTACACGGCGGATCGCGGTGTGTAAACGTACCTTAAGTAAACTAAGTATAATTACTTAGGTGATTATTGAAAATTTTCCAAGCTGATTCGTTGCCATTGAGGTGATTATAACGTGATAATCACCTAAGTTTTGACTATTAAATGACGAAGAAATGTGTATTTTTATTTTTTCCCAAATAATCACCCATGAAATTATACTAAAACAATTATTCGCCTTAGGCTCGGTGGTTATTGTTAAATGAAAACTTCGACTTTGTCTCTGTCCCTACTTACCGATAATCACCTAGCCTTCGGCAATAAATTGTTAATTATTTCTGTTTTCTATATTTATATTGATATTTTGTAAAGGGCCCACTGTAATTGGTGTTAAGCTGTTGTGGTGTCCCAGCTTCTTTAATGCATTCATTGTATAATGTTTGGAAGCGAAGCACAATAAATAAATAAATAAATAAATGCGAAATGCATATCTCTTATTATTGGCCAATGAAAATGGCGTGTCGTTTCGGGCGCATACGGGCGCATTGTCCATTACCCCATTGCCTATTCCAGGGCGCATACAGGCGCATTGCGCGTAAATGAGTTTTTAAAAATTAATCGTTTCACGTTTATCATTTCTAAACGTTCACCAAAAATAATACCAAGAGTTAGCAAAACACAATCACAGGTTTGTCAGCAGGATCAAACACTGGCCAGTACTCGAACATCTGTTGAGTACTCAAACATCCGTCAAAATACCAAGCAATTTGGGTGAGTTATCAATTTCAGAGTTGAAAAACCTTTGCTGCAAACTCAACTTTTCCTGCGCTGGCGGCCAACAGGTACTTAAGAAAGAGAATGTACTACAGAACAAAAGAGAACGTCTAAGCACAAATAGGCAGCAATCCAACCTTCAAACCGTTCCAGCAAACAACACGTTATCTATTTCCAACACAAGGGAAAGCTTCAGCACCGATCAACTGGCACAGATTACGCAAATTGTTTTGCAGTCGATCTTGTCGTTCTTCAAAAGCAAACATGCCACAACAACCGCAACTTGTGTAGATGAACAGCCAACTATCCCGCCACCGCCACTCGAAAGGCTAGAACAGCTTGGTCAATTCCCATTTTTAAGTTCCAGCAAGCTCCAACAGCAGCCGGCTTAATCCCATGGACCTCTTACCTCAATCCAGCAGATGGGGGATTCACACCAGGGATTCCAAGCAAATACGTTCATGACATCGAAAGTGGTGAGTTTTTGAGCTTGCTAAATTGCAAAAAAATTTAAATTAGTTAAATGTTGATTCCGGTTGGTTAACACCACGCAAGCCTGAAGTGCTAACTAAGATTGAAGAGTGGACAACTGCTTTCAACACGTATATGTTAAGCATTGTACAAAAATTTCCAAATCGTGCATCAGAACTTTTACAGTACATGGAAACCACCCGTCATGCAACAAAAACACATGGCGGTTTAGGCTGGTGCATATATGACCATCCATAAATTTTGTTACAAAGCTGCTGTGTGTCGAACATTGTCATGGGCCAACATTTCCTTTTTTACCACAGAGGTAGACTTTGCCCATTACAACCCAATTGCCCCTACACTTACTGATGTAACTGAACCATCCTGGGTACCAATGTCCACAATCCCGTGGGGAAAATGATGACAACGAACCACCCTTCACAATCCGCCTGTAGCTCCGCAAAGACCAACAGAAAATAGAACTGTTAGTTTAATGTCTAGTACATATAATAGCCGTAATTCAATACCTTTAGACAATACTATAGTTATGCCAATTCACACTGACGGGCTCGAAGATGCTCTCCGTGGGCATCCCGATTCATTATTCATTTTGAAACACTGTTCAGACTTACTTTTCGGTGCCTGTCTAGGTTATGATGGTCCTCGCATGTCCAAATTTTCGAAAAACCTTAAGTGTACCATTGACAAACCCACGTTTGTTTCAACTAACCTAGCTGCCTCGTACCCAGGCACTTTAAATAATTATAACACATGAAGTATTCAGGAAGGCATGCGACACATGAAGGGGCTGTTGGGAAGGGTGTGTCCTGGGGAGCGCCTGGCAGTTTTTGTATACTCTCATGGTGGACAAAATTATTGATGAAGCAGAGATTTCTACAAATCCTTTAATTATGGACGAAGACCAGTTCACATGGCTTTTTTAAACAAAAATTACCATACCCGCATATATTTTCTTGATGGAAGTGGAATTGAACATCATGGCAAGTAATTAACAACAAGAAACTGAATACTGATGACATGCATAATGTGTGTAAAATCATGAGAAAGATTCATGGCGAGGAAACCCTGCGATGCTTTTCTTAGAGGACGCGCAGTACATGCAATGAGAGGATGCGCAGTACGTTGCAGGACGTGCAATCGAGCAATGAAAAAATCATTGACAAGCGTTAAGTCGTCACGAAAATATTTCGTGCACTTAAATTGGATAAGACTTGCTACCAATCCCTGTTGACTCGATAGCTCAATAGGTAGAGCGGCGGTCTAGATACCCGCAGATGCGAGTTCCAATCCTGCTCGAGCCAACAAATTTTTTCGTTGCTCGATGCAGTGTCAGATTAATATGAAACTAGTTTTTTGTATCTCTGAGGATGGTTCTGAAATAGAATTGAAACACTGTGCGTCCTCTAAGACAAGTGTCAAGTCGTCACGAAAATATTTTGTGCACTTAAACTGGATAAGACTCGCTACCAATCCCTGTTGACTCAATAGTGAACTTAAGCAAGTGACGTTTTCACGGCGACGGCGACGCTATTTAACCATTTAAGACTGGACCGAGAACAGCGTTTTGGCACAAAAAACAAATCATTAAGCAAAACAACTGCAGTTGACGGCGACTACACCATGTCATTCAGAAATATCGGTGAAGTTTTAGCATACTCTTACGTTGACGAAATTATTTCAGATGAATTTGTGCTTCTATATGATCATTACCGTTCGAAAAATCCAGACTTCAGCTACGAAGACAGCTCCAGGTTTGATTTTGACAAACTAGAAGAGGCTGAATGCAAGGCAGATTTTCGAGTAGAAAAAAGAGATCTGCATGTTTTAGCCAATGCCCTGCAGATTCCTCCCTCATTCCAAACGTACCAGAGAAGTGTTGCCGATGGTTTGGAAGGCCTTTGTATGCTGATGAAACGCTTCACCTATCCCTGCAGGTACGGTGATACGATACCGCTATTCGGCAGACCGGTTCCTGAATTATCCATGATAACAAATCATGTTATGAACTACGTTTATGACACTCACTGTCAACGCATAACCGAATGGAACAACAATCTTCTAAGCCCTGATCTATTGGAAGTGTTTGCTAGGGCCATTCATCAAAAAGGTGCTCCACTACAGAATTGTTTTGGATCCATCGATGGAACAGTGCGCCCCATCTGCAGACCCAGACAAAACCAGAGGGTTGTATACAATGGCCACAAAAAGGTGCATGCACTGAAATTTCAATCAGTGGTGGTTCCAAATGGAATGATAGCAAACCTTTATGGACCTGTAGGTGAGTATTTTTATATCCAGAATATTTTTATTATTAAACAATATATATAACACTTGATGTAGTCTATAACAAAATAAGAATACTCTTTGATATTATTTGATATCTGATTGAAAATGTGCTCAATTTTACAAACATCTTATAATTGTTTTTATTACTCTTTGTTTTTATACAATAGAGGGAAAAAGACATGACGCCGGGATGTTGGCCGAATCTGGGCTTTTACAAACCTTAGAAGCGTTCTCAACAAGTGGACAACCAATGTGCTTGTATGGTGATCCAGCATACCCCTTAAGAGTGCACTCACAGGCACCCTTCAGAGAGGCCAACCTAACAAATCGAATGCAGCTATTCAATACCCACATGAGTGCCACAAGAGTATCTGTGGAATGGTTATTTGGAGATATTATCAATTATTTTAAATTCCTAGATTTCAAAAAAAATCTTAAAATTGGGTTGAGTAGCATTGGCAAGATGTATGTTGTATGTGCTCTACTTAGAAATGCTTTGACATGCATGTATGGCAAACAAACTGCTGAATTCTTTGACTTGCAACCACCTTCTCTACAAGAATATATTGCTAATTAACTATAAATAATTTTAATCCATTAAGCTGCAGAGCTTCCCCACTAACAATCAAAATCGTCTGGTGTTAGACAAGCTAAAAAATAAGTAGGGCACACTGGGGTGAATTGCGGCTCAATGGATAAACTATAAACATTGTCAGATTTTTGGTTTACCCATAAAGCTGCAGAGCTTCCCCACTGACAAGTAAAATCATTTGGCGTTAAACAAGTAAAAAAAAAAGTAGGGCGCATTGCGGCTCAATGGGTTAACTAGAGACATTGTGACAAGTAAACTTGTCCGGCCTTAAACAAGTAAAAAATAAATAAGTAGGGAGCACTGGGGTGCATTACAGCTCAATGGGTTAATATAATTTATGGGCATTGTGCAATTACATTGGGCTCCTGCAAATGACATCACAACACTTGTTGACTCCTGCCATGTTTGGTGGCAATTAACTTACAAAAAAATGATTAAAAACGTTTGTTACGTTGCTTTTGTTTGAGCACTTTCATGAATTATAATGGTCCACAGCTGTGTAGTAGTCTGTTGAATAAAATATTTTTGCTGCCAAAAATGGTAGATTATTTTTGATACATCATACTGCAAGACCTGAATACACTGTACTCCATGTTTTAACATGTAATGCATAACTTTAACCATAATTGACTGTCTATTCTGTCTCAGTATATCTTATATACTTCAGAAAAAGGGTTAACGTCTGTTTTCAAATATGTAACATAAAAAAGTAACATCAAAAACCTATAAAATAACACTTGTAAGTAAAAGATTAGATTCTTCTATTTGTTTGCAAATTTGTCCAGGAGAGTCATGAGGGCCTGATTCTGAATCTGCTGTTGTTGAAACATAGCCTGCATGGTTTGTACATGCTGTTGTTGTTGAAGCTGCTGTTGCTTTTGCTGATCTTGTTGCTGTATAAACATGAGCATGTCCTTTTGCATTTTACTTTGCTGTTCCAACAACAAAGCACTGTTTGACTGTTCTTTTTCTTGTAGCTCACATTCCCTCTCTTTTATTGATAAGTCAGCCTTAGCTTTTTCCTTTAAAAATTCTATGGCATCACTTGTGCTCCTTCTTCTTTTTTTCAATGATCCCTCTGCTCCATTGTCCTCATTCCTTTTTTTGTTTTGCCTACAGTCTCCATGGCTTTTTTTCTCATTTCCTCGGCTGTAACTTTATCTTGCTCTGCTTTCTTCCTCTTCGATTCACATGGAGGATTATGCATCCATTCTTCCTCTTTATCACAAATTTCCTCTAACATTGAGCTAAGTTCATCATCATCCGGGCTGATGACACTTGCTAGATCTTCTTCTCTGACTTTAGCTTTGTATCTATTCATTAGTAGATTAAGACGATCTCTTAATGACCTCTTGGATACATGGAACTTTGGACTTTCCAATTTGTTAAGATTTTCTGCTATTTCATCCCATACTTTTCCTCTTTCAGGACTTCCGTTTCGGGTCTCATACAGACTGGAAACCAAAACTTCTCTTGCAAATAGTATATCATGTGAATCACTCCATTTCATAGGCTTGTAAAAGATATATTTAAATGCTCTCAATTCAAAATGGTGTGATGAAATACATTGATAAATTAAGTAATAATATAATATTTCCTGAAACAGAGGAATTTTTTATTAATTTGCATTCTAAGTCTTTTGCACTTCATATTATATAGTACAACCTAATGCAGTAATATGTTGAGACATTAGTCATTAAATGGATTTGTGAAAGACCCTTGAGACTTCCACAAATCCTACTACTGTACTAGACTTTTGGCAAATTTATTCACTTATAATTTATTCGCATGTTAGAACCGTTCTTTGACAGTATCCCTTGTAATAACTTTTTATTTTGGTTAGAGACCCTATGAAATTGTTCTGCTTTTACCCTCCCTATTTTTCCTACAGGTGATAAATTAATAACATGCTATAAACATTTCCATTTAAAAATATATAATAGGTTTATGTGCAAATAATATACAGTATAAATAAAAATATATAATTCTATCATTAAACAAATCTTTGCTTTTAAGTTTTTATATAGTAGGCCTATATGTACACAAAATTATTTACTTTGATGTTGTTATAGTCCAGGTACTAGTCATCATTCCCACCTGAACAAAGACAAACTTTGGTCTAAATTTCCGATGCTAATCGAATACTATGGTAAACAATCAGGGATTAACTAGAAATAAATTTCATTTCAAAAATTTAATGATAAATAAGTTTAAAATGGCTGTATTTACTCACGTTTTTGCCACAACGCCAAAATAGAGATTCTCATGTCGCTGCCGTAACGCTGACCGTGAGAGAATTGGATTTGCCATGCCCAGTAAGACTCGTCCCAGTCCAAATCGAGAGCTGCCGTCGCCGTCGCCATGAAAACGTCGCTTGCTTAAGTTCACTAATAGCTCGATAGGTAGAGTGGCGGACTAGATACCCGAAGATGCGAGTTCAATCCCACTCGAGCCAACAAATTTTTTGTTGCTCGATTGCAGTGTCAGATTAATATGAAACTAGTTTTTCGTATCTCTGAGGATGGTTGTGAAACAAAATATGTAAAGCAGGTAAGTTTTAACACATTGGCTTATTGCATTTTTTAATCCCCTCCCCCCCATACGGAGGACATCCATTTTTTGGACCCCCTCCCTTGGAATTCTGCAGATGTTGATGAATTTCCTGCCTACCCCCTGGAATTCCCCAGGTTTTTTACAAATTTCCAGCCTACCCCATGGAATTTGCACATATTTTTAATTAATTTCTACTCATCCCTTAGAAATTCCACCGATAGTGTTTGACCTAGTCTCTGGAATTTCCCCATTTTTTGTTTAATAGGTAACTATCCCTTGGAACTTCCATGTTGTTTTTTAACCTACCTTGTGGAATGCCCCCATGCCATGAAATTTTGACTTAAAAGAGGGCTAAAAACAGCCATATAATATAATCAGTTTTGCTCTTCAAGAAAACCTGTTTGGATAATTGAGTTAAATAATTGTAAATGCTATTACAATCAGAAAAAATGAAGCCAGGTTTCCAACCATTGTGAACAAGTCATCTTCAATGGCATGAAATAGTGCTTGCTGCCCTATCTATCTTGTCTGTGTGCTGCAAGCAAATCGATCTTCATTGATAGCAGATATATATTGACACCCTTATATGTTCACAACAATTATGACTAAATGGCAACCAGGCTTAATCTGTTCAACTTGTAATCATTGTGCAATTGTCATTTCCTTTGCCAAATGAATAAAGGTACTGATGTAAGTGGATTGTTAACATACTGATATAATGAGAGGGTTTGGAAGGCCGGCAAACTTCAAAGGATAACGCCCCCTTTCGTGAGCTGAACTCGATAGAGGGCATCACGTGACAGTTATAGTGCATCATGGCGTGATTCTATAATACAATTCCCTATTGACAACTTAGAAATCTTTAATTTTCGCTCGTTATACGAGGTTTGGGTGGAATACGTTTTATCGCAAATCTCCATCGTAAGTGGCAACTTTTGAGACGTTTTTATGTGTGATAACCCAAATTGCTGACGCTGTGTATAGTATCAATTTCAAGTGAAGCGAAGTCATACTGCTAAAGCCGCTCGAAATGGTCGTTGAAAACGCACGTTTAAGGTTTGGAATCATGGAAATAGATGAGGAAATTGATACTGAGCGTTTAGAAAGCTCTTGTTCACCTTTGAGGACGATTTAGAGTAAACAACTGCGCTTCTCGAGATGGACGTGGATGAAGTTCAGATTGAAGTTCAACAAGCGCTTGAAGAGGTATGAAATATAAAATTTAGACGATGATTTTTATACATATATTACTGTAAACATAGATATTTACCTAATGAATATTTTCCCTTTCAATACATCGTCTCTAGATTGAAGGAAAGAAACAGTTCCCTTGCAGATTTGCAGTTTCTGTGAGAAAGTTTGCAAATCCAAAGGTGGCCTGACAAGACACCGCGACGCAGTATGAAACATGTTGCAGAATTCGGTGAGGGATCTTCTACATTTCAAACAGTGATATTAGTAGAAAAAGTTGCCGAATTAATACGTGATATCGGTCCACACGTGGTTCAGTTGGTTGACGAAAAACTGTATAACGTATGCCCTACTTTAGTATTTACTCTGTTTAACGCCAGGCGATTTTACCTGTCAAGGGAAGCATCTAAGATAATATTTCTGTGCCACCAAAGGGCAGTCTAACTCTCAGAGCCAAACAAATGTAATTAGAATAATTAATCATAGATTCTTGTTTGAATTTTAGGAAGAATTGTCTTTGTCACCTCAGGAGCTTGGACCATTATCATATTTGACTGGCTATGTGATAAGATCTTTATACCAGAAAAGCAAGAACTGTTATAGGAGCAATTCTTCCTGAAACAAAGAAGTCCAAGCCTCGATGTCATCAATGCGACAGGACACAGAGGCCAATAAATACATTTCATCCTTGTTGAGGGGTGGACTTTGGTCACCACACTCATGGATTGTAAGCATTGCAAGGTGTCAGAGTTAATATTTAAAACACACATCAAATAAAGACAAGGTCACTGTCTACCAGTAGACACAATTGTGAATGAAGTCCTAACTTCTCCTCTTGTGACAAACTTGTGGTGCAACATTATTCAAAACTGTGATGTAGAAACTTCCATGGAATGTCAATCTTTATGTTTAGAGAATGTTCAGTCAAATTATATGTAACTGTAAGATGTTTTCCTTTGCTAAGGATATTGTAAATAAATATAAGATAAGTCAGGGTACACAGAAAAAGAAAGCTTTATGAAAAGACTTGAAGACAGGCACAGATTTTCCGGGGGTGGGAACCCCCCCCCAGAAATGATTTGCACCCTCCAGAGGCATTTGGCACAGCCCCCAAAAGTCTTGGCACTCCCGCAAATTATATATATTTTGATTTGATAGTTTCATATTTGATTATTCTTACTAAATTTGTAAAATTACCAATATTATGGTCTCAGATGATCAGATCTCACCATGCAGGCCTAGAAAACAAATTTTGTTAAACTTTTTCCTTGGCCTTTCCAGGTGTTGCCACCAGGCCCCGGCCTTTCAAAGCAAACAGCACCCCCCCCCCCAGATATTTATCCACACACCCCGAACGAAAATATGAAAATCCGTCTCTGCTTGAAGATTGCCAGTGAAGAAAAGAAATAGTCAGGTACATAATACAATAACGTTATATCAATGATATTAAATGTAAATATAATACTGTATCAATGAATTATCCTCATATTTTTATGTGTAATCTTTTCATCAACACATAGTAATAACAACAATATATAAATATATACACACAGCTTAAACTACTTTCTCTCAATTATGTAATGTTCAGCCAAATTTAGTCATGCAGTTTAAATAAGCTAATTGGAGATAATAGGCTAACATATCTCAATGTGCTCTTTTATTCTTTTACTCTGTCAGTGTCTATCATCAGACAATTTTACACATCAAGGGCAGTGCATATTAAGCATTCAGCTTAAAGAGTTAAAATCATATGGCATCAGACAAATGTTAAAACGATAAAGTAGGAGCATTGTGGCTTAATTAAACATACATTGTGTAGTGTATGATTTGAGCATAATACAAATTACATTGCACTTCTAGCTTGGCTGTGGAATTAATAACACTATTGCAGCAATTTTTGCTCCACCTACTTTTTATAAATGACAAATTTTCAGAAAATAAATAGATACATACACAGTAAGAACACTCATGTCATTCTTAAGTTAACTAATTGGCAAATTCCTATTTATCAGAAGAAAATTAACAATAAAATCAGCCAATCTCGTACCACACAACGATGGGCTTCGGGGACAGCATAAACAAAGTGTAAAAAGCCTGAGACTTACACTGTAAAGTCTTATTATTAAACTATAAAGTCTT